TATATTTGTTTTTGTGTGTTGTGTGTAAAAAAAAAAAAAAAAAAAAAAAAATCAGAAGAGGGGGTTGGTTTTAACCACCAGGTTTCCTTGCTGAGAATATGGATTCTGGAGATAACGAGCACTGTCCCCTCCAGACTCTTGCAGGATCAAATTTCGCAGCGTGCACATTTCCATCCCCCAGGAAAGCATTTCAGAGATTCCCTATCCCTCCAGTAAGAGTAACTTGTCTACCATGATGAAAATGTCAGCAATGGGGGGGGGTGTGGGGGTGTGGAGTACAGGAGTACACTTGGCTTAGCTTTTCACAATTTTATTAATCTTCACAAGCAGGCAGTTAAGAGTATAAAAACATAAATAACCTATAGTTTGTACACATTCCCAAACGCCGTTCACTTCACTGGCTCTCCCAGAGATCTGCTGAGTTCCAGATGACAGGGAAAGTTACACCCGTTGTTCTGGCTCTGACTCACTCTCGGGGGAGGACTTAGCTGTGGTTACTGAAAACATTACCGTCCCCACTGCCCCACCTCCCCTCCAGAACCAACCACGCCAGCCAAGGGTAGCCACGCTGGCTGCATGTCTGAGCCCTGTGGTTTTGCTGTAACACTGAACTGCAGCCACGAGCCATGGTGCTGGCCTGGAAGAAGCCGTAAGCGATGGCGGTGCAGCTGCCCGGCTGGAAGTTCGATAGTTTCAGCTTTCCCAGCTGAAACCAACAGTGGACATAACACTGATGGCGATACAGGAGGGAGATTACGCACGTAGGGAGAAGAGGGAACTACTGAAAAGAGAAAACAGAAGGTGATTCGTGGAGGGAACACATTCTTTGAACCGATCCTGGCTCTATCCAGGTACATCTGGAAGGCCAAATGATTTTTGAACAAATTTATTGTTATTTAGCTGCCAAGTCTAAGGAGACTTAACTTCCAAGCATGTTCCACTTGTGCAAAACCATGTGTGAATGGCCCTGCATTCACAAAGCAAAGCAAAGGTTTTGTAGGGCAAGTAAACATTCCCGAATACAATTTTCCATGAAATCTGACAACTGAAGAAAACATTTTAATGTTCTCATCCAGCTGTCTTTTTTTTTACCCTTAACTTCAGCTCCAGATCCATCACACAAAAGATAAAGCTTTTATCTCATGCCAACCTAGTCAATGTCTGAAGTAAATTTTATGTTTTATCAGATATAACTTGGGTGCCACAGAGCACTTCATCATCTTGTAATACCTTCTGCCTTAATTACTGCTACTCCAGTAAGACTGGCAGGACATTGTAGTATACTAACAGACAAGGGACAAAGCCCTCGCTGCTGATCCTCTCAAAAAAATCACTAACTTTTTTTTTTTTTTTTTTTTTATTTTAAAAGATACTTAGTTCCTTTTAAATCATCTATGAGCCTGTGAAAAACAAGACAAAACAAAACCCAACCACACAACCAAACCTGAAAGTAAGATGAGGTAGAATCGAGAGACAGAAATCGAAAATACTGTTAATGGGTAAAAATACTGGCCACTATTCGCTCTCTCAACCTAATCAATATGGGGAATAAATGAAGTTGGGACAGAAAACACATTATGTGCCTCTGGAATTCATAATCCAATGTTAACTTGACCTTTGAGTGTATGCATCAACAAGTAGATCTCATACATGCAACACACCTGCGTGAAAGCCCTCCTCAGGTGGCCTCACAGGCTTTAGCTTGTTAGCAATAGATGTTGAACACGGTAACTTCCCTTTTAGTTTTTACGTTTTCATGCTGAAAAACTCCATGCATGAAATGAGTAACCACCCCTTCAGAGAGGAACGATGGAAGCAAGCAAAACTACACACAGAGGGAAGTAATCCTGAGAAGACGGAGAGGAAGGAACATATTACAGTGACTGGCAGCAGCTATTTGTAGGGCATTTGGGGAAATACACAGCTCTGTGTAGGTACTGACTCTGGGCGAAAGGAGATGGCAGAAGGGGAGGGTGGAAGTGAAGCACAGATGCTCTTTTCTCCTCTGGCACGTCCTGAAGAATACAACAATCACTTCTTTCTGCTAACTCTACAGCCCTTCAGATGTATTCCCCCTGCAACTTCACAGATCATGTTACAGCAATATTAAGAGGAATTAACAGAAACAGCGTACAAAGATGATGGGGCAGGAGGCTTTTTCAGGGGTTATTTCAGAAGCCAGCTGAAGCAGACCAAAGCTATACAAAGACAGGTAAAAGGGGCACTGACCACGAAGAACTCCTTGAGCAGTGGATAAAATTGTAGTCTGATGATTTAAGGGAACGAGAGGCTTGGTGAAGAACGCCTGGGCTTTCAAGGAAGTCAGCTCTTTGGAGCATGAAGGCAGCAGCATCTCCAGGAAAGCTCTGGAGTTAATGGGTTTGACAGAAGCACCTGCTAGGTAGATGCCAGTGCTGCTGAAGGACCGCCGAGGCCAGGACAGTGGAAAGGCTGAACAAGGCCCTACTGCTGTGACTGCAGCTCCAGCAATGTGTTCCCAAACCCACCACAGAAAGGGTGTTCTGCTGGCCTGCGGACTGGCTCCTATTCCTCTTGGCCTTGAAGGGCTTAACATGTCAATGCTTCAGAAGGTCCCAGGTCTGAGACTTCATCCAGACAGTTGAAATAATATGCACATGACGAGTCCATAGTCACTGTGGCTGTCTGAGATCAGCAACGTGGGGAATACAGGCCAGTGTTTCAGTATGAGAACCTACAAAACATATTTCTGTGAAAGTTAGGGAAAAGGACACTGAAAACTCTAATGGATTCTGGAGGTAACTGAGAGACATTCAAATTTAGGTTCAGTTACTAAAGCGTGAAAGCATTTTGTTCCACCTTCAAAGCAAATCTTACATACCATAGCAGAGGCATTCCAAGATCTCCATGGTACCAAAAGATACGGCTCAGCTTTAAGACAGGCTTGAAGGTGCTAAGGGATGTTGGCAGTTTATGACATCTTTATATGGTGGGGATCAATCAGTTTGGAACAGCAATAAAAACAATTCTATCCCAGCTGTTCCCTTCAGTTCCTGTCATTACCCAGTGCTTGTGCGAGTTTCAGAAATTAGATTATTTGGGAGCTTTTAGTGTCAGCACTGCACAGAAGAACAGCTACCATGTTGCTGCCTCCCACAGCTTCTACTGACTTGTCATTTAATTTTATCTTAAACCACTGCCATGATAGAATTCATCACCACTGCAGTTTGTCAGTTAGCGGAGAGATAATGAACAAAAAAATAATACATACCTGGCAGGAAAAGGCTATTAATCCCTTATCATGCAAAATGACATATCTGCCCACGTTTTCTCTGCTGCACACTGGCCAAACTTGTTATACAGCAACAACTGCCAAAATATTTCAAAAGCACTCCAGTTCATCATATCACAGATTCCTTTGTCTCTCCTCTTCTCTATTTATGCTTCTGGTCCTGAAGTCTTTTTGCCTGTCTTTATTTCGCCCTCCATTTTTCAAAAATAAAGTCCTACTTAATAGCACTGTAAAATTTTTGTTTGGTCTTCAGTAAAGTTCATTCATTCTGGAGTAAATATATGTTCAACGTGACTGATGTTCTTCCGATTATGTGATACAATACACAAGTAAACAAGGAAGAGAAGACACAACAACGCCATAGCTGTGAGGAAGATGAGGAGCCCAGCAAACAAAGAAGGTTTCAGAGGTAACTGGATCAGCTTGCCTTCTGCTGGAATCATGTTTGTGAGGCTTAACATGTAACCGAGTGACCATGCTATACTGCTGTTACCAACCTGAAATAAATAAAAGAAATAAAGACAGAAGAGTTCCCATGGACTTTTCAGTCAAAGAAAAGAGGTTCCAAAAGCTCAACTGCTGATGCTGGCAACTGCCCTTTAAGTTAGCAAGGAAAAAACTTTAGTGGAGTATACGAAGAAGATACAAAACTATGTTAAATTACCCTTTTTTTTAATTCCAGAGGATGCAAATAAAACTGGTCACTGGGCTGAAGAAGTGAGACACAGGTATCAGATGGATGGGTACAAGGATGTCTGATATACATGCAGACAGCCAGTTATGAAATTTTCTGTGCAAAAAACTCATTGGGGGGGGCAAAGAGTCCCACCGACATGGACAAAGAGGAGGCCAGGGTAAAGTCCCCAAAACAGGAACTCTTATTCATCATCTTTTGTTCCGTGGCTCGTTTTGTGCCTACAAATGAACCAGCACTAGGCTCTTCCATTTAAAAAATATAAAAAGTAAGCATATGTGGAAAATTACTTAGGAACAGGTGAGACAAAAGCAAAGGGGGTACATTTGTATTTGCTCCATGGTCCTCCTGCTTTGCTGTCTTTCCCCACTTCTAATTTGAGCAACAGAGTTTATCAATTTTCTACTGTCTTTTTCATGAAATCATCATCCTGCCACTTGTCAAGGACAGGATCAAAGCACGAAGATAGAGTGCCCCTTGTCCTCCTCCCACATGCCCAGGCTTCAATAATGGTTTGCCTGTTTATATAAAACATCTAAGTACACATCACTGCCTCCTACAAATCAAACCACAACTTTGGAAAAAAAAAAAAGATCTATTGTTAAACAGAGTGAAATAGAGGGGGAGCGGAGGCATTTCAAGAGAAAACAGTGGAACTCATAAAACAAGGGCTAGCCTAGAGGGCCAGCTGCAAGATATGTATTTCGTTTACAGTCCAGCATAGGCTGCTTTCTTTTTCAAAGGGCCTGCACCACCTTCAAATTAGTCCAGGTAGTTCTAGGGTATATTACAGAACAGACAGAGCTCAAGTTGCATTCTTCTACAACTAACCAGCTCTCCCAAACTCATTTGGCTTTCCATCTTTATTACAGGTCATGCCACTAAATGGCTGCCCGTAAGTAGTTTGCTTAAATTTGGGAAAGCAAATTTGGGAAGCCAAACCTCTTTGGTTATTCTTGTATAAAAGGCATCATGATGAACTTGAGGGATGAAATTTAATAAACAATTTAATGTCTTTTAAGCAGTCAGCTCCTGGTTGTAAGAGACCATAAGGGCCCATAGTATTTGGTCCTTTTTGTAGTTGTGTATATCCTAATACCTGCTGTTTAACTGATAAAAAGAAAGCTACAGCAACAGGAATACGCAAGTGAGCATAGAAGTAAGATGGATCAAGGTGGTTTTTCATTGCTAAGAGAGGGGAAAAACTCTCATTGTGAGGTTTAGAACTTTTGCAAATCATCTAGCTCTAGAACTCACCCAGATCTTAGCACTGGGTTAAGTTTCTTTTCATTGGTTGTGTTCACTAATTAAAAGAAAATATAGTTCTAGCACAGGCAAAAAAACCTACCCTCCACTCTTCGAGAAACTGTTCTGTTACCTCTGGGGTAGCTTAGCTGATCAGTTAACATTAGATCCCATTATTTTAGTAGAGGCAGATCTAATTAAGAGAATATAGTTTTTCCTTTTGGCATTTCATGATTATCCTAGTGCAAAATCTAGATCACAAAGGTATTAATTTCAAATAAGCCTTTTGGGTTTTAACTCTGCTCAGTTTTTTTATAGTCTTGGCTCAATACAGAAAAATGTTGCTGTGTTTGGCTGCTGCTATCTGCTGGGGATAATACAAAATATATTTAAATATCCAGACACATCCACACCGACCAGACCCAGATTAAGATCCCAAAGTAAGCTTTATACTTATTTCCCAGCAGAACGGCTTAACTCTAGACACTCCTCCAGAGCTGCTAATGGTTGTCCACCACAGGACAACATAAGGCAAGAAAATCCTATTTGTTTCCTTACTGCACCGGTAACAGAGGATAACTGTTCAGAAAACACTGCTTCCTATTTCTCACTGACATCTTGCCAGCATACCCTGCATTTAAGAACAATGCATGAAGATCTTCAACCTATTTGTTTGTTGGTTTTGCATGCAAGTGCTGAAGCATTTGCAAACTGTACAGAGATTAAGAGACAGTCTGGGACAGGGTTTTAGCATAAGGCTCTGTACAGTAGCAGAGAGGAAAGGATGGAGTCACAGAGCACTGTGGGGACCACACTACTTGATGTAACAGCCAAGCTCAAATAGTGTCCATGCCTTCTGATTTGGAAGCAAAGTTTTCTTAGCAGTAGCTTTAGAATGAATGTATACAAGTTCATCCCAAGTACTCTGTTTATCAGGAGAAAAAATGAGGTCAGGTAAAAGAGAAATGCAGCTATTACACAAACATTGTTGTAAACCTGCTCTCTGCTAACTGAAAGCCAATACCCCATCAATATACAATCTTATTCCATAGAACCAGATTACAGCACAGATGGATGTGCCAGCGGAGGATGAAAGCTGCCCTAGTTGCCTCACCACCACTCACTGACAGACCAGCACTGCCGGTTTCCCCAAGGCTCTGCCAGCAGGCAGAAAAGCCAGAGTTCTCCTGCCCAGCTCAGCGGAGTTGGCTCAAACTGACCTTGACCGGTGAGGTGTTTCGGGCATATCACTGCCTACAGCAAGCCACTACTTCAGCAGACTCGGGCAAGGTTTAAAACACAATTATTTGTTCCTTTCTTAAAGCTCTTTGAAAGAATCTAGGCAGCATCTCCAAGCTATGCTGCAACCGCTGGAACCAGGCTGAAATTGCTACTGAGGTTTGAAAAGTGGCTTTGTCTTATGCCAAACATTTGACAGTAATTTACAAAGGCTGTTTATGACCATTATATTTTTGTAGGCTGCTGCATCCTCTGTCTCCTTCTAAAATTCTTTGGATTAAAATAACAGTAAGAGGAAATTATTATTACTCACCTCCTTTTGAAAATGTATCTGTGGCCAAGTTTCTGCATCAAAGTTGTAACCATGTACAAGCAAGTAATAAATGAAATTGGCTGAAAAACAGTAGGATCTAGCATATGTTTCTTCAAATTTAGGCAGCATAAACTGGAGCTGAAAGCAAAAGTTTTTTAAAAACATGTACATTGTGAAAAACAAATGCCTTTGGTTTCTAAAACTAGACAATACTTTGGATTCTAATTAGAATTTATTAGCATTTTTCAGAAACAACAAATAAAACTGTGGACAACTAGATACAGAGATATAGAAAATGAAAGACCCTGACAGGGATATAGCTTATGTAGTAAAAAATCACAAGACTGCTCTTTGGATGTCAGATGGGACCTCGGGTGCTCATCTGGATCATGAGTATCAGCTGAAATTCACAGACCCAAGCAAAGTGCTTTGATCTCCCAGTCTGATCGGAAAGTGCTGTTGCGATTCCAGTGGTTACGAGAAGATCAGGACCAGAGTATACAGACAGATCAGGCAAGCTGGAAAATGAAGAACTCCTGGGTGAAAGCTGTTTGGAAAAGGTCATGGATTGCCAGCTGGGGACAATTTTCTTTACTTGCTTTTCTTAAAATAAATAATAGCAAAAAATATGAGACTATACCTTTCCCTCAGATGAGCTCTGTGAGGACAATAATGGGAAAAAAAAAACCAAAAAATCAATTTGCCTTCCACCAGTAAAAATCTTCAGGCAGCGGTGCTAATTCCACATCATCACCTCCAACTACACTGCATCAGCTCTGTGCTACCGCGCACTCACAGATAACATAGCACACAACAGGTAAATACTAACTGCTTTGAATATATAGTGGTAATGCTGATAATGTGTGTGACTGAAGTGTGTTGTTAATGAATGTCAGTCTAGCAGAGTTTTGTTTTAAAATATAAACTGACCTGTTATATTAGCCTTCCAAAAAAAATCCCATGAGGGCAATCTCTAATCCCCTGAGATGCATAAATTTCAACCCACATATATTCAGTCGCAACACCCCTCACTATCTTTGTGACATCTTGGCTGTACAAAGCTCAAAGATAAAAAGAGGAAAATGAACATACCGCTTGGCCACATTTCAGTATAGGCTGAAAAGTC